GCACCATGACCACCCCGAGCAGCCAGCCTGGCCTGGGGCTGGTTGTGTGCGGTGTTCAACTGTTCACTCCTGATTTCAGTCTAACACCATGTACTGAAGCTTCATTCACATACAGAAGCCATACAGTCCACATTTGGCAATGCACAACGGGCATATTCCATCGACTACCTTGGGAGTTGTGTCGTCCATACAAAATATTATTGAGAGCATAGGTTTTGGTCCGGTTTCTTAGCGGCCACACAAGCTGGTGTAAAACCCAATACATCAGTAGGATTGGTACAAATACGATGAGTCAATGCTGCACTGTGTCGTTCTAGGTTACCTGGCTTTTCAGCTGGCTCAGCCGCTCTTCCCTCTCCTGATCCGCTCGCTCCTTGTCCAGCTGCTTAGACTTGCGCTCGTCCAGTGCATGTCGATCCTGCAGCATCACACATCAAGTCTGAAATCTGTAACTGAACCCTTTCACCATCATACAGTGCTGGTAACTGAAATCCGACCCCCTGGCCTAGCTGGGCGGCGCGTTCACTTTCTAGCGGCCTCTATTTCGGGTCTTTGCGATGTGAGCGCACTGCTCAGGGGGTCGGATTTCAGTTACTAGTACTGTACATACACTTATGGATGTAGGAAAGCAAGTGTACTGTGTACAGGACCAGACATAACACAGTCATGATTGCATAATGCAGGGAGACTTGCAACTAGTGACCAGCCCGCAGTGCAAAGGAAACCTCTACAGCGGACAGGTGGTCTTTCTTCACAGGTCTGGATGTATGTTGATGAGTGTGGTCTGGTGTCACAGATGACAGGTGGTTTCTAAAGGCAGGTGGTCTCTAAAGGCAGGTGGTCTCTAAAGGCAGGTGATCTCTAACGGCAGATGGTCTCTAAAGGCAGGTAATTGATCTCTAAAAGCAGGTAATTGATCTCTAAAGGCAGGTGGTTTCTAAACGCAGGAGGTCTTTCTTCAGAGGTCTGAATGTACAGTAAAACCTGTCAAGGCGACTCGGATAAGGCGACCACCTGCCAAGAAGACCGCTGGAACCAGTATCAAGGGATGCTATTTCCAGTCAAATGCGGACCCTGGATAAGGAGACCACCTGGTAACCAAGACCACATCTTGAAGGTCCCTTGAGCGGTCGTCTTAGACAGGTTCACTGTATGCTCAGGTATGGTCCGGTGTCAAAGATGACTGTCTCTAAAGACAGATTATCTCTGAAGACAGGTGGAATCTAAATACAGGTGATCTCTTGCAGTGGTTGGTTAAAAAAACTAGTACATTACAAAAGCCGATGTGAAAATTTTCATCAGCGTTTAATATACAGAACAACAAGGGCAATCAAGGTTTGTTTGTCGCTACTTAAAGTTTCATGCTTTCGCAATCATCAGGCAACATGAGGATGGTACTGGCTATGCCGGTATATATTTCAGGAGAGGGTGGGTCTTGTAGCGCTGTATGAAAAGCGTTATAATTACTGAAGACGTTTTGAGTCGGTGCCGAATATAACCAGAATTAGATAGCTGCCGAAATGGTGTGTATTCACAGTACTAGCATAACAAGCTGTACTTTTAAAAAGAATGGCATGCCGGATCTGCATAGTCACTTACCCGCTCTTGAAACTTGCCCAGCTGCTGTGTGGCTAATCGCCGGCGCTCGGCCTCTTCCTGCTTCTGCAGCATGTCCATGTCAGTCCGGAGTGCCTTCTCTTCCAGCTGTTGCTGCTTGTACGCCGATAACCGCTTGGATTGCTCAACCTAAAAGAATGGATGGAATTTCCAGAAGTCAAACTTAGTAGGGCATTGCACAGGCAAATCCACGGACTAGCTGTGCACAGGGATAGTATTCAGTACTGAACATCCGGAGACAAATCCACAGAGTGAGCATGCATGGGGATGGTATTACTGAACATCCTGAGACAAATCCACAGGGTGAGCATGCATGGGGATGGTATTACTGAACATCCGGAGAAAACCCACAGAGTGAGCATGCATGGGGATGGTATTACTGAACATCCTGAGACAAACCCACAGAGTGAGCATGCATGGGGATGGTATTACTGAACATCCGGAGACAAACCCACAGAGTGAGCATGCATGGGGATGGTATTACTGAACATCCTGAGACAAATCCACAGAGTGAACATGCATGGGGACGGTATTACGGACCATAGAAAAATTCCACAGAGCAGCCATGAAGGGGGTAATGACGGTATTACATTGATATATCCCATGACAGAGTGGCTATGCACGCCCATGTAAGGACTGGTGCATGAGCCATCCTCGCCGCCATGCACCTGTATTTCACTGGCACAATTTCATGTCCAACCTGTCACAGCTGCTTTCCATGAAATGCAGTCAAAACTCCTGGTACTCCAGCAAGCAGTTGTGCACAGCAGCAATGCGACTGGTGACTGCCAAGGGTATCACATTCACTCCTTAATCTTTTCACAAAGCAGAACTTAGCACACAGTCAGAGGGGCACTAGTACCTACACGCTCGGATTTCAATCGACGCGCTCGCTCCACCGCTTCCTTCCGCCCCTTCTCCAGCGATATCTGCTGCTCCAACTCCATCAATTCTTTCTGCTCCGTCTAAAGATACCCAGCCGAAAGTAGAACAATGCATACAAAAAATCGATTCTGGATAATAATAATAATTATTATTGTTATAAAATACACATACACATACAAGTCGAACAAGCAGCTTAGTTGCGTGATGTCTACCGCCTTCATTTTATTCATAGCTCTAATGCATACAAAGTAGAACTTTGATAACGGTGCCACAGTAAGCATAGGTGACGTGACCAGTGCCTATAAGAATATAACAACAAGTGCAGTGAAACCTGTCTAAGACGACCGCTCGAGGGACATTCAAAACGTGGTCTCTGTGGCCAGGTGGTCTCCTTATCCAGGGTCATTTGACTGGAATAGCATCCCTTGGTCCTGGTTGAAGTGGTCTTCCAGGACAGGTGGTCCCCTTATCCGAGTGGTCGCCTCAGCAGGTTTAACTGTATATCACCTACAGTGATGCCAGGCGTATATTCATTCTTGTAAGCCACCCTATATTACTGTACAGGCAGGACAGTTCGTCGTTCAATAATTTCGTCCAACTCCAAAGAAAGGGAGCTCGTCCAGTTGTAAATTTCGTCCATGGATCGTAAGAGCGTATTGGAAAGCTGGACAAATCGACATTCGTCCGGCATTTAATTTCTCCAAAAGCTCCTTGGACGAAAAAGACGAAATTAAATTCCAGACGAATATTTCTGCTTGTACAGTACATGGTTTCACAAGCTACACACAAAGAAAGCAGAAGAAGGGCAGAACGAGGGCAGAACGAGGGCAGAAGGAGGTTTTCTTCCAACTTGAGTGTCCCGTTATGTGATCCCCAGGCAATGACTTCCAATATCCGTGTGGTTTCATCAGCTATGGAGTATAGTGATGATCGGAGGGCAAGCAACAGCTATCGGCCTGTTCACCGCTGAGTTAGTTCAAGCTCCAGTACATGCGCTCTGAGGTTGGCCAGAGAGCGCATGCGTGCGTGCTGGAGTGTGAACTAAGTCCACCGTGACAATCGCCTACGACAACTTGATACACTGCAGAAGAGGATTAGTATAGAGTGCTGCGGACTGATAAGAGAAACTTTTTCTGATTTGAAGAACTAGTGCCTTAGATTATCTTCTAAACGAGCGAGCACACACATTACACCGAGAACAATGGGATAGCTGAGTAGATCTCTAGGACAGCTGCGCACACAGCGGTATCTAGGACAACTGCACACAGCTGTCACACACATCCTCAACTCAACGTAATATTCACGCTGTACAACTCGCAGCTAAGGGTCTTGGGAGTTGCACATAACGTTACTACACCAGCTGTGCAACTCGCAGCTAAGGACGGTCTTGGGAGTGGCACATAACGTTACTACACCAGCTGCACAACTCGCAGGTAAGGGTCTTGGGAGCTGCACATAACGTTGCCACATCAGCCGTACATGTACACTACGCACCAGCTTGGCCTACCTTCCATCTCCTAACGCGTTCCTTTTTCTCCTGCTGCTCGGCCTGGGCTTGTTGTCTCCTCAGCTCTTCTTCCTTTGCATCAGCTTCGTCACGATCCTCCTCATCCTCCTCTGCCTCTCGCTCCTTTGATAATAAGCTAGCCATCTCTGCCTGCGCAAACCAGGAATGTACATACACATTGGGCTGACAGTCAGACTTGGGAAATTGAGTCATCAGAACCATCAGAGGATTGTTGCATGCCACAAAGACACACACAAACACACACACACACACACACACACACACACACACACACACACACACACATACACACACAGACAGACACACACACACACACACACACACACACACACACACACACACCTCAATCTTCAGACATGCCTATCGCGGAAGCGATGATAGCGAACAGCTATGTTAGACATAGCAACTTGTGCTGGGATTACACTATTCAACAGCTTGCAAGGCTGATGAATTGACCGCCCCTAATTTTTAGCCTGATATCCACCACACAGCTGATTGAAGTGGCTTTTTCTGGCCAGTGAATCCCTATTTTTCATTTTTCATTTTTTACACACACACACCACACCACATACTCCGGCATACTGTATAAGCAGAAATATTCGTCTGGGATTTAATTTCGTCTTTTTCGTCCAAGGAGCTTTTGGATTAAATTAAATGCCGGACGAATGTCGATTTGTCCAGCTTTTCAATACACTCTTATGATCCATGGACGAAATTTACAGCCGGACGAACTCCCTTTCTTTGGAGTTGGACGAAATTATTGACAGACGAAATTTTCTACCTGTACAGTACTCTGTATCTATGCTGTCACATGTACAACACTGATACTTAGTACAGCTAAAGGCACGAACGCATGCTGCACAGGACACACGAGGTCAAACCTCCAACAACGCACACGCACAAGGTCGAACCTCTCACTCAAAACTGGTTATCGTTGTGTGCTGACATGGTGTAGACGAGAGATTCGACCTTGTGTGTGTTGTAAGAGGTTCGACCTCGTGTGTGTTGTAAGAGGCTCGACGTCGTGTGTTCAATATACTTGTAACAATTATCATAGAGTATCTTGGCTTCAAAGTAAAGATCTAGATGGCTCTTGCAGGTATGTTTCACTGGAGTCTCACTGGACATAAACGTATAGTGGGACACGGACCACTAGCAGCTCACCTTTCGGCCTTGTTTCCACTTCTTGATGGCATCCTTCTTCCTTTCTAGCAGTATTTCATATTCAGCGTACCAGCTTTCGTGACGAGCAACTTCCGCTGGTGAACGTCCTGGTATTCTTGCCGAAAGCATGTCATTGAAGTTTTCCTTGCCCTTCGACACAAACGAGTAGTCAATCAGAACAGAGGTCCACACGTGTAGCTAGAAAAACTTCAGCGAGAGTAACGAGCTCTCTGTCTGCTTCGCCCCGACTAACACGTACACACACACACACACCTGTCCTGTAGAGCCACTGCCACAGGGGTCACGTGGGCCCCGGAGGGGCATCAGAGAGGAAGATGGCCACACACACACACACACACACACACACACACACACACACACACACACACACACACACACACACACACACACACACACACACACACACACACACACACACACATGCGCATCATAAACCAGCCACGCAGAACTCGCACACAATGCCACGTGATTGGTGGCACGCAAACATCACAAAACCCTTTGTTAATTAAAGAACACAACACAAGGTTGTTGTCGTCTCCGTCAAGATGAAAATCGTTGCGTTGAAAACTAACCTTTCAGAGAGCATTCTAGCCATCAGTAGGCGTACCACAGTATGCAGTATACAATCCTAAATACAGTGGGAAATTGAATATTCATGGTGGTAGAGTGATTAAATGCTTTGTGTACGGGAAGTATCATCATGTGCTGTGAAGGGTGTGCATAGCGCTGAACACACAATTTAAAAAAACGGTTCACTGCACGTGTAAACTCAGCTAACCTGAGTTTCCCGCATCCCTAGGAACGCCACCAGCCACAAGGAGCAAAGTTCTGGGGGGGGGGGGACAAACTGAGGTGTACATGTAGCAGCAAAAATACCTACTAAAGCCTCATTATGCCACTTGAAGTATTACCTTGAATTTTTGCCTCAGGTTCAAAAATCCTTGGTGGTCAATGTCATCCCATCCACCCTCATGACCTCCTGTCTGTTGCAGGAATCGCTATGGCAACAAGAACAGCAGGTGAATATCGTTACAAGAGAAGTTGCCGACGATGTGGTCTCAGTCCTTTGCCCTGATCAAGCTGGGCGGATATGCTCACAGGAAATAGTTCTACGGACACATTATGCAAGGTGATATATGCATCCCGGCACATAATGACGGGCGCACACATGCACACATTACTCACTGCCATGACTGGTCACACGAGTCTCCCCCGAGGAGGGGAAAGAGATTCAAAAGGAATCTTGGAAAATGGCTCTATTGGCTATTGTCTCACCCAACGGCCGACACCTCCTGAAATCCCAAAACTCTGGTTGGACTTGGACATGATCCCACATATGGGTTCACCACATCTCAGTGAGTGGGTGAGGACAGGGTGCAGAAAAAGGATTGACGGCATCAGGGTATCCGTCCCGGGATCCAACTGCATCCACCGCTGCCCCAGTGAAGGTAATACTTTCTACTAGTGTGGGTGGTTAAATCCGAATGGATCTGATAAAAAGGGTTCGCTAACACCATTCATGTACACATGCAAGAGTTACCCTAGGCAGATGTAGGCCATAGGTCAACAGGTATGTGTGCTTCAAACACAAAGATAGTATCATAATTATAATTATGATGAACCCTGAAACCAAAATAGGATACAGGTACACCACTACACTTTCAAGTAGCCGAGCCCGGCCATTGGCAACAGACCCAAACACTATCGAGCACAAGTGTACCCACCACCAAACTAGCGGGCATACACACAAAAACACACAAACACACACACACACACACACACACACACACACCTTGACCTTTGACGCCCATCGCCGGAGGCGATGACAGCAATGCTACGGCAGAAGCCATAGCAACTTGTGCTGGGATAACACCATTCAACAGCTTGCAAGGCTGAAGAATTGACCGTCGCTATTCAGCCTGGTCTACACCATACAGCTATTTGGAGTGACATTTTCTGGCCAGTGAATCCCTATTTTTGGTCTTTTCATTTTTTTTCCCGCACACACATCACACCACATACTCCGGCATGCACTGGCTGTTGGTAACCACCCAGGAGAATGAAAGAAAAGTCAGGAAGAGTCTGAGAAAGAGAAGAAAGACGTGTGTGACCATAATCGTCGGGAATCGAACCCGCAATCTATCGATTGGAAATCGCTGCACATACCACTGCACCATATGGGACACACACACACACACACACACACACACACACACACACACACACACACACACACACACACACCATGTACCATGTACCATGTATACGCCCGTCGCAAGAGAAGCACGCAAATCTGCAAATGCACTGGATGTGCACCCACAGATTTTCTCTTACAGCAACAATAGCGAACAAGATCTGAATGAGACAGATCAAGACTTGCGCCAGATAGCTGTCTAATCCACGCAACTGGCGAAGCCATGTGAATCGACCACCAATGCACACCTGGTCTACACCACACGGAGTACATCGGTATAAAACGGCCAAGACAGTTACCTATGCACACCCTACACTTGCTGGGGTAACCAGTATAGACAGCACGCTGCTTTGATAGAAGCAGACACTAGATGCACTGATACCTTGAAGTGAAATTGGAGTTACTTTACCAACCAGCCTCGGCTACTGAGTACTGGGAACCCAGAGCCAACAGACATACCAACAACCTCAGCCATGAACACACACACACACACACACACACACACACACACACACGCACAGTCCACACACTAGCTTACGGCCAGAAGCTGATTTTTTTGGAGAGAATCAGAGGGAATCTTGGAAAGATGATCCGTGACTGACTGCTGGAGCACCCACCATGGTGACTAAGTCTCTGCCCTTATTTGCATCCAATAGCAATCAGCCAGTGAAAATCCCAGCACACACGCACAAGCATTAACAGACCCAGGACGGCGAATGGCCTACCTCAAATTCACTGACTGCAGGTGGCACAGAGCCATCACCTCCAGCAGCGCCTGTCGCCACGGCAACCCGAGGCCTGCGGCCTGCCGAAGCGCCCCCGGCCTTGAGAACAGCCGTAGGCTGCGCAACAGACTGCCGCTCCCATGCCTCGACTTTCTTTTCCATGGACTGGATAGCCTCCGCGAGGACTTGCTCATCGTGAAGTAGCTGATTGAATCTTCAACAAATATGAACAAAGCAGGAAAACAGAGAGAACATGGTGGAGGCATGAGCAACAGGCAGCAGTTGTTGCAAAAGAAGGATCCGCGAGCAGGATTCGAACTCAGCACCCCTGTCTTTCCGTGACAGCGCCCTGCCGATTAGGCTACCGGGGAGCACACACACACACACACACACGTGGCTCCTTCTTGCTACACTGCTCCCCCGCCCCAGCAGGCTCAGAGGTTCCGGGGTAGAATCCCGCTCGTGGATCCTTCTTTCGCAACATTAGCGCCTGGAAAAATGGCTCGAACCCACGACCCATTGTACCCCCCCCCCCCCCACGAGTAGGTACGGCATGAGGACACAGCCTGTTGGGGTGGGGCACTGTCTCGGGAAGACAGGGGTGCTGGGTTCGAATCCCGCTCATAGATATTTCTTTTGCAACACAGTCGACCAATATAACCGGGAAACACATACAGGCGGACTGTGCAGCAATATCTCACAGAACGGACATAAAAGACTGAGACATTCAACCACCTGGCATCAAATTAATAACGACACACAGTGTGCGCATCAAGAGCCACTCTCTGCTCCTCTCTCCTTTCCTCGGCTTTCTAGAAGCACTATTGGCTCACTATTCGAGTTGCAAAACACCAAAACAACATTTATCCTCCAGATGTATGTCAGAAAATTTCCAACATTTATCAACATTTATCCCCCAGATTTATGAACTACATTGAACTCAGAATTTCGGAGTGCAAAGAAAATTGTACAATGCCGCCAGCTGAGATGATGACAAAACAAGCGTTTTCCTCCAGCCAGTGCCACTGTTCTGGTGACTGCAGGAGAAAGTCGATAATCGTTCAAGCGTTCATCTGTCCTCCTTTTGCATCCTTGTCCATAGTCGCACTTACATTTAAAAAGATGTACATTCCTTTCAGGTTGGTACTGTGAAGGAATATCACCCACACTTGACCCATCATACCATAAGCAAGGGTTAAGAAATCCACAGCACCTCGTAGTCACCGCAACTCACATCTTTCTTTGCCGCTCCTTGAATGCTTTCACATTTGTATCAACATCTTCCATGACCTGCTTCACTCGATCAGCAGCTGCAAACGAACAGGAAAGAGTAGGAGAACAAAGAGAGAGAGAGAGAGAGAGAGAGAGAGAGAGAGAGAGAGAATGTGTGTGAGTGTGTGTGTGTGTGTGTGTGTGTGTATGTGTGCGTGTGTGTGTGTGTGTGTGCGTGTGTGTGCGTGTGTGTGTGTGTGTGAGGGGGGGGTGTATGTGTGTGTATGTGTGTGTGTGTGTGTGTGTGTGTGTGTGTGTGTGTGTGTGTGTGTGTGTGTGTCTGTGTGTCTGTGTGTGTCTGTGTGTGTGTGTCTGTGTGTGTGTGTGTGTGTGAGAGAGAGAGAGAGAAGAGAGAGAGAGAGAGAGAGAGAGAGAGAGAGAGAGAGAGAGAGAGAGAGAGAGAGAGAGAGAGAGAGAGAGAGAGAGAGAGAGAGAGAGGAGAGAGAGAGAGAGAGAGAGAGAGAGAGAGAGAGAGGAGAGAGAGAGAGAGAGAGAGAGAGGAGAGAGAAGAGAAGGGGAAGATAGAGAGGTGGATGGCTGGCTGGACGGATGGGGAGACCGTCATCGAGACAGTGAGATAGATAGATGGATGGA